CGTGACGCATTTGTTTGGGTGCAAGCAAATGTGTCATATTTCTTTAAAACAGTGTTCACATTTTCATTATAATTGTATATTTTTACACGAATATAGCTCTTTAGAAAAGAAACTCCCAGGTATATTAATAGCATGCCAAGTCGTGCTGCCACAGAGGAGTCAATGGAGCAGGGTAATGGGGACAGTTGTCTTGGCGAATGCTGACTTTTACAACCCGATCGGCTAATTGCATAAATTAGAGGTACCTCCTCATGTTCGAATCAATCTGGAAAAGGGTTTGAAGGTGGCCTTTTACTCTTAGTCTTCGCATTGGAACAAATGTTTATCAGCATGGCCGTTTGATCTGCGCATGATTATTTTACAAGGTCTTGTGCTGATGCCAGCAGAACAGTAAGTTCTTTGGAACAGTGATTGGTCAGTTTTGTGTCTCGCGTCATGTGTTTGCCAGTTTTGGTTTCGATGCCTCAGCCACATGCTGTCACTGACGGAAACAGACCAAAGATTAGCACTGCGTGATGTCGTGCTGTCGTACCCTGGACCATGGATCACTTCACAGTCCGTCGTCTCTAGCGTGCATTTGCGAATGGTGGCTTGAATAAGAATGTGTGGTGATTACATTCTTAAACACCGTCATTTACTACTAAGGTCAGTGCGTAGAGGTTCAAAAGATTCATTTGTTTTTTAACACGAGGCTGTTAGGCAAGCAACCACAGCCTTGTGTGATGATGCGACACTAAATGTCACTCATTTTGTTAAGCGCATTGTTTCGGAAATATAATTGCTTTGCTGACCACATTGCCTACGTCGAACACGACGCACATTGGAAACACGCATAGAATCAACTCGACAAAATGAAGACGCTAAATGCAACTGCGTATTGAGAACAATTGATCAGGTTAGGAGTTGAGAGGTAGAGTAGTGTTCATTCTGTACTTACCACTAGGAACGTAACATCTAGGATAAGGTTTCTAGCACATGTTGCAGTTAGTGTCATTCATTGATGAAAGAGTGACGGGTTATCAGCGCTGCGGACGCACACCAACAAGTCGATTGCATGCTCTAAATGTCATTCTTATACATGATTGCAAGCCTGCGCCAAATCCGCCTGATTTCTTCTTGCATTCGGCACGAAATCTCAGTGGTTTCCATGCTACATGACAGATAGGTGCAGATTAAAATCCCTGTGAAACCGTTTGACTTCTTAAAGAGGGTTGCGAATGTGGATGTCTTGACACGTAGTATATTCCTGGTTCAAACGAGGAATTCAGAAAACGTCTTACAAACATACTTATAATGATCTGAATAGTAGCGAAATTGGCTGATTTTGAATACGAAGGCCAGAATAGATGCAGTACTTGCGATTCTCGGTAGTGCAAATGAAACCAGTTACAGAAGAGCGCTCAATGATGCAGTCCGCGAGTCGATGAGAACACTGATCACCGCTTTCATGTTCGTTCGATTGATTTTCAAACACCGCAGGAGGAACCGTAAATAGGCGTGCAAGTGTCTCTGGGAAGGCTAATTATCGAGAACTCTAGATTCCCTTGAGAAGCCGCAACAAGAAACGTACACTTTTGCAGGAAGCGTCAACACTCATGTTCCGATGCTTCCTGACTCGTCTGTAGCCAAAACGTGAATTTCGATTGCCAGGGCTATTCTTGCAAACACAAAAGCCAAATTTGACGCATGCACCAATGCCTGCAGCCATCAGCGTAGTTGTCACTGCAGTTGGTCTGGCGAGAAATTAAGGAACTTGTGTTTAAAAAGTAACGGGTTGGGTCACAAGCTAACGATAATGCATGTGTGCGTTGAACCACTTAACGCGAAACGATACATAGGTCCAACACTGATACACGTTAACTGGTCATGTTAACAGAATCTTAGTGCGTACAACGCAGTTGCTAGCATCCGTCATTAAACTGCTACTTTTGCCCGTTTACAGGAAACGTACACTCTGATAAACGATAACAGATCGCCTTTTCGACGCCAGACCCGACCTTCTCACGCTAATGCAAGACAGGACCAGAGGTCGTGCAGAGAGCTTCGATCGTCTCAGCTAAAAGGCGACTGATCTGGCATAAAGTGAACCCTTATATATTTTAAGTGCGACCTTGACCTGATGGATGGGAACGGATTAACAAGTGCGTTAGGGATATAGGGTAAATGCTGACTCAATCGGCTAAGAGCCATGTTCGTGTATCCGCAGTCACCAACAAAAGCACAAACTGAATGGTTTTTGTAAATTGCGTTTTTTGCATTAGCCACATAAACAAACATCGAACGCACAGGTTGACTAGCTATTGGCATCCATATTAGCATACATGCATGTTCGATTGGTTTAATGGAGACCACTGAATATGGTTGTTAAACTGTGAATTGTAAGCCTCACCGACTCCATGTGCAAACTGGAAATAGTAGTTAAGTTATTACTTTGTACCTGTAAGTTATGCCTTCAAATTTTGTGCTTTGCACTGCAAGGTGAATTGAAATCTCTCAGTTAAATGATTAAACTGTTAAGCAAACAAATTTGCTGTTTCTCTGCGTGCACTGTATGCAGTAGGTAAGCAATCATCACTGTAGACACAACCACTGAAAGGCGTTTTTAATATTACAAGAGGGAAAATTGCAGGATTTCATTAGAGAACCGTTTCGGTTGAGAAACTTGCTGTTGACGTTAATTCATTACAAAGCTCTTCACTTGTGAGTGGTTATAGGAAATAAGAGCGTCACTTTGTCAACCTGCATTCCTGCACAACCACTGATTTGATGCTCATCTGTAGTGTTTGTGGTTTTGTTCGTAAAAGGAATGTGTTCCAGGTGGTCCGAAATGAATGAGCTTGATTGATGTCCACTTCGGTCACTCGTTCAGAATTTGACAGCACGTGATTTGCATTAATGTGTTCATAATTTCACCACCCCTGACAATGTTGGCTGTCCTCTATTTTGTTGAAATATTCGCGATATACGCATAGTGCAATTCAGTGCAGAGGGTTAATGCAACGCAAATCCATCTACTTGTCCGATTGTGTGCGTACCTGTGTTCGTGTGAACGACGACCAGTCAAGCTCATTTTAAGCCTAGCCAGATCTGCTGTTCTAGAATTTTACAGGCCTACCAAAGACATTAAGATAGAATAGGCAATGATTGGCTGCGGCTTTACCTCTACTGACACCTCTCCAAATTTAGTCACACAGTAAATAAAGACAGTTTCGTATAACTCACCTTGTTTACCAATGACAAATCCACAGCCAATGTGGTTGGTCGTCGTGTTGATGTGACATATTTGTTTGGATGCAAGAAAATATGTCGTATTTATACACAACAACGCACAGATTTTAATGACAAGTGCATTCTTTTCCACAGATATAGATTTTCACAAAAAAAACTACTTAGATTTATCAAAAGTACGCTAAGTTGTTAGTCTTGAGATGCTGTTACATGCCGAGCCGTGTAAACTCAGAAGAGTCAGTGAATTAGTGTAATGAGAAGAGATGTCATGGGGAATACTGACTTCTACAACTCGATCTGCTCATAATATAAATTAGACGTGAGTCTTCATGGTCGGGTCATTCTGAAGTTGTGTTCGAAGGTGGCGTTTCAGTCTTTGTCTCCTTATTGGAGCAAAAGTTTATCAGCATGGCCATTTGATGTGCGTCCGGTTATTTGATAAGTAAGTAAGTTCTTTGGAATGCTGATCTGCTCATTTGGTGTCTCGGCTTCTTGTTTTTGGCAGTATCGCTTGCGATGCCCCAGCCACGTGTTGTCACGCACAGTTACACTGAAGATTAGTACTAAGTGATGACGTGCGGTCGTTCTTTTGACCAATGGCTTTGTGGTAGCTGCAGTGAACAAAATATTCGTGCGTGTTTCGAGGAATGTCGCAAAACCATTCAAACATTGACTTTGAATCAACTGAAACAAAATAATAGATGCAAATTAATTTGCAGTAAAATCCACAGTATGTTGTCACCACTGATGCACACCTATTTTAAGGCAGCACAATGCGGTAGTTAAATGAGGAACCACGATTAGGTCTTTGTAATCACATTCTGTTACCTTGCGTCGTGTTTAGTCACAAGCGGATTTGGTCAGCACCGCCACGCATCCATTCACCTGCAAGACTGGTTGCCGAATACGCCTGTGCGATGTACAAAAGACGTGGATAACGTGCCATCTACACCAGTCCCGTCAAAGCCTTATCTGAACCAAAATTCCGAGATTTTTGGTAAGCCAACGTGAAATGGCATTCACAAAACTCTTTCAAAGTCAAGATGATCGATTGGCGTCGTTCGTGCTACATAATCCAGTCTGTGAAGCCTTCTTATGGTGTTTTCTATGGTTTAGGCTTGGCAGTTTGCGAAATCGACCAAAGAGAGGTGCTGTTGTGCGAGGCGCTCTGCCGTGGATTGTTGGATTATCAAACACCCGCCGAAGCAGCCGCCCTGCTCTCCTGCTTTGTTTACGACAGCCACTGTGAAGGGCGCAGGCCATTTGTTGTTGCTAGGCTGCAGGCAGTCGCAGAGCGAATGCTGGAGCTGGCGTGTGAGGTAGGCGTGTTTTGTCCGATGCCATGGCAGGTGGTGACTAGTAATGTGTACACTTGTGAAATACCGGTTTTCAGTGCTAGTTTGACATTTAGGCGGGTATACTTTTGACTTCATTCAGAACGCGTGCTTGCCAGATACTGTCTCGCATGCTTTGTGACAGGACTAATTGGTGCACACATACACACGCGTGGCCTTTGCTTTCTTCATTGCATTCGATTCTTCGATACACGTAGAGCAGAATCTCATAATTGCCTGAGGTCTTGCAGCTGAAATATTTCTCGGCACGAACAGGCGTGGATGATGGTGGCATCGACTTTCATGTAAGTCCTGGGCTTGTGGAAGCCACCTATGCCTGGGCACGTGGTAATCCGTTGTCATTGGTGGCAGGACAATCTGGCGCCGACGAAGGCCATCTGCTCAGAGCCTTCAAGCGCCTTGGTGAGGTCCTGCAACAGGCTTGTAAGGCATGTCGTCGCCTTGGTTACGAGGCCCTTCAGACACTGATGTGCGATGCTCATGTGGCTATAAATCGAGGTGCGCTGACTAAGTCTTCCCTATACATCTCAGACGACATGTGGTATAGGGACGTCTCCTCCTGCTCATCGTCCTTCCTTCCTCCTCCCCCTCCACCAACGCCACCACCGCTGCCACCTTTGCCTCCATTCCCCTCCTCCTCCGCCACGTCCTCCTTCGCCTTCTGTCTTCATACCTTGTGATCATGAATCGCGTCATTTTTCATACACGCACACACATACACACGCCCACACACTGATATCTGCTTTCTACCTGTGCACAGTGTCTTTCATTTGTCTAATATTATGCTATTGCCAGACCCACACAGCATGGCTTTTGCGTTTCGATGATAACATTCATCACTGAATAGCACGTGGACGTAAATGGAAGCGACAAGAGGGACAGCCTGGGGGCTGCAAGTCAATGTTTTCTAACAAACTACTTGCAAACAAGGCGATGTTGGCAGGGTGATGAGTGCGATACGCGTCACCGGATAGACCTGTCTAAACTCATAAGCCACTTAACGGGTTGTAATGGATGCAAGAGCGTTTTGATTGTGATGCCGGAAGGGCTTGAAACACTCAACTGATATCGCATCAGCTGTGATACGAATGGGCGCGTTAGAGGATCCACTAAGCGCTTGTTCTTGAGGTCTACGTGCAGACCGAAACGTCCAAGGAAGTCACCTCCAATGAAAGTGTGGTTGCGGTTGCGACAGTGAAACCACAACAAAATTGTCATCGAAGACCTAAGTGAAGTATGAGGGATCTCCGTCCGTAAATAGAAATTGACGAGAAAATCAGGAAATGGATAGTGGCTCAATTGTTGAAAAGAGCCTACGGGGATCACAGATATGTTGGCTGCTGGGTCAATCAAAATTGGCATGCCTGTTAACGAATGCGAAAAATATAGGTTGTGGTTCGCGTGCACGTCAGCATTGGACGCCGCATCTGCAGAGCGTTTTTTGTTTCCCAACTGCCGGTTTGGGTTCAAATCCGCATGCATACACGGAGATCCACGATTTAAAGCTGCTCCACAGACGGTTTCGTGATAACCACAAAGACGTTGATCTGCACATGTGACAGAAGTGGAAAGATGTGTTGAGCAATGGGGCTCCTTTAAATGTGTGCACAATATACGTATATATGCTGGTTTGTGGCAATTTCGTTCACCTTTGCCCAGTAGCAAATTCACCACTTCCATGCCGAACGCTACACAGTCGCGTATTTCCACCAGCACGTGAAAATGCTTTGAACTGTTGCGGAGTTGGCTAATTAAGGAAATGAGTTTACGGGATCGGCGTTAATGAGTGTGATGGGGGCTCG